CAAAGAAGGCCAAAATGATCGTCTGAGGTTGCTGTATGTAGCAAAGAGAATTTGCTGGCATTTCGACTCTTGACTACCCTTATGGGTGGGATCAGGCTGATATGCTTCAGAATATGTTCTCTCTGTAATGGCACCAGTGAGCAAAAACTATTTTAAGACCTGAGCAGAGATTTACTGAAGGGCAAGCTACTGAGTTTTTGTCCGTTCTCAGAGTTTTTATATTCTTTGTTTTTGCTACTATCTTTAAGGCAACGACATACTGCAAGGAAGGATGAGGTGAATTATGTAGTTTTGAGAGTGTTAGTAAGTACCGTGTAATGATATAGCATTAGACTTACTATACTTGGGCTAACATTCCTCCTCTCATAATGATAAGGGTTGCATTACCCCTTTTTATTCACAAGAATATTTGAGTCTATTCAGTCCCTCCCTAGTCTTCTATATAGCTTTTTATCCAACGTACACACTCAGAACTGGGGATTTGTTTGTTTATCTGTTCATTTATTGATTTACCCTAAGGGCACCATAACAATAATGCCAGTTCCTTTCAGATTCATAGGGGTGTATACTCTGTATATCTAGTATTGATCATTAATTCCTTCTTTATGATTATTAAGTGTTCTTGCATAGCAAGACCACTTATTGTAATCTCACATATATATTATTATTCTTATTATAGCCAAATTTGCCACCCTAACTCCTCCCACAGTTTTTACACTACATAGACAAAAATTTACAAACGTGCAGATTGTTCCCGATCGGATTGCTATTACTTTGTGGAACGTTTCGCCGAATGGTTCACGGAATATCGTCGTTCTTGTGGCGCAATTTGTCCCATAGGAATGAATGGCAAAGCTAGAGTGGGAGCTGGCAAAAGCTGAAAAATCAGGACATGATTTCTAAACTGCCACCACTCCCTTATTTTCAGGCCCACCTACACAAATCTTATATCAAAACGTTCAGCTATCCCTGCTGCCACTAAACATGTCAACGGCTAAGCCGTAGTCCTGATAGTTTTCACAATATGATCATTTGTTTGCAACTAACGCCGTCCATTGACATTCATTGAAATTTCACTCTGCAAAGCTCAAATTTGAAGTGCAATTTCTAAACTGCGACTGTGCCTTCAATTTTAATACTTCAGAGACATACTATGCATCAAAATGTAGGTCTGGGTCTTGTGATTCTCACAATATAAAGCTCTTCGCTGTAGGATTTATAGTTTTTAAAATACGACCGTTTGAAGATGGCAACCGCCAAAATACTCTGACCTGTGTCAGGCTGCAGCAGCAAGTGATGTCATAGACAGGGCCTTTTGAACACCTGCTAATGTTTTTATAAATGTATGGTTTAATGTAACTGTGCAACAACGTTGCAATTAAATGTGCTATATAAATGATAACAGTTACTCCGCCCACTCCAGTTGTAGACTACTGGTGGAGGCAAGACCACTTCACACAATTTCCCCAGAAATTGTAGCTTTTCTAGTTTCATTTGTTATTATTATTTATAATTAGTATGTGTAGATTTTCTTTAAAGCCCTGTATATCTAGACAAGATACTAGTTATCATGCCGTATGTTACATTGTATAGACATTTATTTTATTGATATAGTAACTAATACGTTACCAGTTAGAACATACCACTTAATGTGTTTTTTGTTCCTATACTTAATGTATTCTGCCTTATAATCTCTTACATCGATTTGACTGCCAGAAGTGACGTTATGCGACTTACGATATGTCACCTCCTGTAAACTCCAAGTGAGAAATCTGGCTGTAAATTTTGCCAACTTGCTGCCTATACAATAAACCTAATGGAGTAAAATGAGGGGGTGTATTTTGGTTCTTAATTGCGTACAATTTAAAAAGGACTCCCAACTAGTTAAGCCAAATGGCTAAACACTTTTAGAGGACTCCACGGTTTAAAGTGTCTTTTTACTGCTTTTATTTTTTTTTTTAAATCTTTCTATTTAATAAATTTGTTTAATCTACTTGTCATTGTTCTTACCTGAGATGGGAAGCTGTAGCACAGATATGTTTGCTCACCCTTGCAGATAGACACAAACCAAGGTGACCAGGTAAGACGCCACCTGTGCACGGGGGCTGTGCAGGAAAGGTGATTCCAATGCAGTACCGGCAAACAGCAGGATAGTCAAGGGATAGCCGAAGTCAAAGTATGCCAGAGGTCAGGATTAACGAAATGTAGCCAAAGTCAAGAGATGCCAGAGATCAGGATAAACGAAGACAGAAGCCGGGGTCAATATGGAGTTTACGTTCAAGAGACTGGAAGTCCAGCCCCCAGTGCTGCAGACAAGCCAGGATGAACAGGACTAGAATAAATTCAAGGACTAGGAACTGCTGTGGCTCAAAGTTCTTTTGTTTTTGGTAATCTGAAAGCATCATTAGTGAAGAAAGGCGGTGCAGTACCACAAAAGGGGCAGAAGCTCTTGAGATTTGATCCATTCCTAGTAGGCTCTTTTTATGTGAGTGGGAAATTTGTCATTGAGCTATATTGTGTGTCTATTATCCAACAGTCAACTACATTGATTGTTTCACTAAATTTGGGGTGTGTACTCTCAAAGCAGTGGTAGCAGCTTTAAAATTTAGATTTGTATGTATAAATACAACAAACCCCTTTTTTCTTATGGATTTATGTAGCGGACCGCCTGGTACACCAGCTAGATACCAACGCCAAGCACACTTTAAGGTTTGACCGGGACACCTGTAGCGCTTCAACCCGCAGTCGATGCAGCTTGATTGGGGTCTATCCAGAGTTTTACAACCTGGAACAGGGTCCTGTGTTACAGCTCCAAGGGATCAAGCTCTCCTGCAGAGTGTATAGATGTCTCACCCAAACACTAGCCAAGACTTAGTAAAGGGTAAAGTAGAACTGGTTTTATTGAGTGAACCACAGGTTTATATAGGAGTACTCACAACAGGGGGTCATCAAACAAAACAATACAAGTCACTCCTTTTATTCTTGGTGTCTAGGACAGAATTTGGTTAAGAGTCCATAATTAAATTACCTGCCTGACACCAAGACCCATAGCACAATAGCTATTGTATAATAAACAAATTATCTTACCTTCTGTTTTACCTCCCATAGGTAAAACTATCTCCCATAGTACAAGAAAACTCCTAAAACACATATAATACTATACAGTAGACAAAAGGAATCTCTGAAACAATGGGACAACCAGGGGCGGACCAAGAGCATATGGCACCTGGGGCATTTGCCTGCCCCCCCCCCTGCCCCCCCTTAGTACACCACTGGGGACAACTCTATTCTGGGAAAACAACAAGAAGAGAGGGGGTGGAGAATAACTAACAAACAAATACATTACACACCATGTACCTATAATGGGCAAAGGGTGACAAAAACATAGGGTAATCTGGGGAAATCCATAAAGTGTCTGTCTTCAGACCCCAGTGATGGTGACTACCATCATAATTTATTAGCTTTTTTTTTGTCAATCTTTATTTTCCTTGTGTGCAAAATAACAGATAAACTTGCAAAGCCACAACAGCTTTGTTAAGCATTTCACAGATAGGCATAGATACATATCGACATGGCATGTAAAGAAATGGCACAATTTTATAATAATAAAAGAACATATCAAGCTAGGTATAAATGTCTAAATTGTTGGACAACACCGACACTGCCAAAGCTGAATACATAATTTAGACATGCATAAGGTAGATTAGGAAACTTATCATGCTGATATGGGGAGCAGGCCCGGACTGGCCATCGGGCACACCGGGCAAATGCCCGGTGGGCCGCGGTGGCCATGGGCCGAGGCCGGCAGGGGAGGTCCCAGGATCTCCCCTGCCGGTCTATGCAGGGCCGGCACTCTCCCAGCGCCGGCCCCGCTTTGTGCCACGACGGGCCGGTGGGGAGATCAAGGATCTCCCTGACCGGCCCACATGCGGCCGCCGGCGGGGAGGGAGGGAGACAGCCAGCCAGGCTGGAGAGAGGACTCGGCGGAGCTCTAACTTGCAGCTCCGCCGGGTTCCTCTCGCGAGATCTGGCGCGTTGCCATGGCAACGACCGGATCTCGCGAGAGTGAACTCTAGCCTCACAGGCTAGAGTTCACTCACCCACGAGGACCACCAGGGAACACTGCCACCCTGCCTGCCAGCGTGCCGGACCCCCCCTCCCAGGCTAAAGGTAAGAAGGGAGGGGGGGACATAATGCCTGTTTTTTTTATTTTTTTTTTTTTTTTATTTACCCCCCCCCCTACACACACACACAATAACATTTATACAGCACTCTCACACCCATCACACACAGCATCACACCCATCACACTCACAGCACTCTCTCACACAGCACTTTCACACACAGCACTCTCTCACAGAGCACTCTCACACACACACAGCACTCTCTCACACAGCACTCTCACACCCATCACACACAGCACTCTCACAGAGCACACTCACAGCACTTTCACACACAGCACTTTCACACACAGCACTCTCTCACAGAGCACTCACACACACACAGCACTCTCTCACACAGCACTCTCACACCCATCACACACAGCACTCTCACAGAGCACTCTCACACACTCACAGCACTCTCTCACACAGCACTCTCACACCCATCACACTCACACCCATCACACTCACAGCACTTTCACACACACAGCACTCTCTCACAGAGCACTCTCACACACACACAGCACTCTCTCACACAGCACTCTCACACCCATCACACACAGCATTCTCACAGAGCACTCTCACACACACACAGCATTCTCTCACACAGCACTCTCACACCCATCACACTCACAGCACTCTCACAGAGCACTCTCACACACACACAGCACTCTCTCACACAGCACTCTCACACCCATCTCACACAGGGCACTCTCACACGGCACTCTCACACCCATCACTCACACCGCACCCTCACACACACACATACTGCACCCCTCACATACACACAGAACCCCCCCAACACACTGCACCACACACATACACAATACTTCCAAATATATATATGTGTGTGTGTGTGTGTGTGTGTATATATATATATATACACACACACACACACACACACACACAACACTCTTAAAGGACCACTCTAGCCACCCAGAACACTTCAGCTTAATGAAGTGGTCTTGGTGCCAGGTCCTTCTAGGGTTAACCCATTGTTTTATAAACATAGCAGTTTCAGAGAAACTGCTATGTTTATCAATGGGTTAAGCCTTCCCCCAAAGCCTCTAGCAGCTGTCTCATTGACAGCCGCTAGAGGCGCTTGCGTGCTTTTCACTGTGAAACATGAGAGCATGCAAGCGTCCATGCATTATAATGATGCACCGGCTGCGCGTGCGCATTCAGCCGACGGGGCGGATCGGAGGAGGAGAGCTCCCCGCCCGGCGCTGGAAAAAGGTAAGTTTTAACCCCTTTCCAGAGCCGGGCGGGAGGGGGTCCCTGAGCCACATATGCATCACATTACACCACAAACACAACACGACTAAAACCGACCTTATTACACAATACCACACCACGACCAGCTCACTCTACACACACGCAATACCACAAGCAGGCTCCAAACACATGCACAATACTCTTTCCTGGCCTTTTGTCTCCTGGTATCCATTTATAGAGACACCAGAGACAAGTTGCAAGGAAAGACAGTGCAAGCATGTTATTAAATTTGCTTGCACTGTGCAGAACAAATACAGGACTTTTTTCTCATGCTAGAGCTCTTCAGCAGAGCTCTGCGCATGGTCTGCCCTGGAAGAGCATTGAACCAACATGCTCACTTTGAGAGGAGGCGTGTTTGTCATTGGTGATGACAAAACACACCTCCTATGCCCCGCCCCCTTTTTAGTGGGCCGCTGTGTTAAAAAAATGCCCGGGCCGAATTTTTCTCCCAGTCCGGCCCTGATGGGGAGTAGTGAACTAGCTATGCTTAGATATTGGAGCACGATAGTAGTGTCGCTTAACACACCAGTGGTAGCGGATTTCATGCTTTTGAAGCAGGGAGGTGAGTGGTTTCATCGACCCTCGCCAGGCCAAAGTGCTGCTTGAGAGATCTGCATAGAATGTCAGTGACATAGTCTCGAACTGGTGCCTCAATTCCTGCACCTCTTGCTGAAATCTGGCTATTTGCTGCATGCCTGATTTAGAGGTGCTTTCCAGTGCTCCAATGTGACCTGTTAGACCCCGCAGATCACTGCGGATTGCAGTGATGTCTGCCAGGATATTCGTCTGCAGGTCCGCAAGGAGGGCCTTCGGGACCGCGGTCGTCACCGGGGAGGCATCTGGATCCGACATGGCCTTCGGCGCTGGAGCCAGAGCAGATAAATAATCCTCTTCCACACCTTCTGATAGCTCCTTGGAGAAGTCAGTAGCGCCATGCGCTTGTTTCCACACGTCTCCAATTGTCAGCCCGCAGATAGGTTTATCAGGCTTTGCTGTTTTTGTTTTGCGACCTATTTAGCTCCGAACTACCAGGGTGGTCCACCAGTCCGGGCAATGAGAAATTATTTTACTAACACCCGTTTTTATCGTGAATAACCTGGAGCTGTAGGCTAGTGCAATCGCTCGTTGCAGAGGTCAAGCCCCACCCCCAAGTTATTAGCTATTTTATGCAAAAGTATGTATCTGATTTCTGATAATCAGAGGGTATTTATGTCACAGCCCTGCCATAATATAACTAACAATACCTATACTATGCTGCCCAACATCCTGACAGAATTACTGACTTGGATCCAGTTGCAGTTTTTTTCACTGATGTCTTGCTTCCAGGAACACCAGAAACAAATATCCAGAAATCATATACGTGCCAAACTAAAGGCACTCGTGGCTGCTAGAGCCAAGCACACAGTGGGTTGACTGGCAAGGTTACTGTAGTGTTTATAGTGCTTCTTTAAGTCCTCCCCTTATTTTTTATTAAGAATAGCTGTTAAACTTACTGTTGAAGCACCAAGGAGTGTTTCACCGAAGAAGGGACAATCAGCATTTTTTTATTGGTTAAAATACCATCCATTAGACATTTTACCACATATTCAGGATTCAGCACTGGCCATAATCTGAAAAGAGATTAGTTGTTATAAGGAAACAATGTATTGTCAAAGTAGGACTTTCCCCCCAGATTTTGGACTAACACCGGACTATTATGTTGCTATTATAAGATTTTGGTCATTATCTGAGAAAATTATTTAAGCACTGGTTTTGACGGCTTTTAATGTGTATAAATGTTCACAACTGATGGAGGCACTCACAACTCAATAGAGGCTGCTGCTGAGACAGCATTGTTTTAAATCAAAATAATATAGGATCCTATTATGGGATCACTGGCATGGGGGTTTTGCTGGTATGAAATGCATGTTTGACATACAATTACACTTGTAAAAGCTAAATAAATAGACAAAATGGGATAATAAAATTCAATATAGGCTAATACTGGATCTACAAAACATGATATAACATCTGAAAATTAAAGAACTGAAATGTACTATAAGTTTGGTTAACAAAAAAATGTTAAAACTAATAGCACGTTGAAACAGGACTGTTGGTATGCACACAAATGTTTCTTTATGAAGGGGAATTTGGGAGACCGTAACAATCACATAATAAGGGATGGATGAAATGCAAATATGACCTTTATCTATATGCAATAAATAGCCTAAAAAAGGTGTGAGCAATCTGGGTGACAGCCAGGAGGAGTGCAAACAGCCCTCCTTCCCATCGCTGTCACTTATTGTAGCGTGGCCAAGCAGGACCGGACCTCAGCAGAAGCTCTGCATGGTCCCTGCCTGGTCTGTCATTGATCTTTCTGCACAAACACTTTGCTGAGGTCACACTTGGCCACACTATAATATTAGTAGGTGAAAGTAAGAGGAGATTAGAAGAAACACAAGGCAGTAAGGGGAGGATAGAAGAGACACACAAAGGATTTGAGCAAGGATCAATAAAGACACATAAAGGTTATGAGGAGGGATCAGAAGATACACACAATAGAGTGCAGGAAGAGACAAAGGGAGGTGGGGTCATACATAAAAAGGCAATTCCACCCGAGATGCCCAAAAGACTATTATCTAACACATTATGGGAAATATCACTACTAAGTGGTGTGCAATAGATTTAGGAGTTTGCAGACATGCAGATGAATTAATTAAAGGGACATTATAGTCACCAGAATAACTACAGCTTATTGTATTTGTTCTGGTGAGTACAGGCAGTCCCTGCAGGCTTTTTGCAGTAAACGCTGTCTTTTCAGAAAAACTTTTCAGTGTTAACATTACAGTCTAGGGAAACCTCCACTGGCCACGCCTCAAATGGCTACTAGAGGTGCTTCCTGGGGCAGTGACATTCAGGGTCTCCACCCTCAGCATGGAGACACTGAACTTTCCTTATAGAGATGCATTGATTCAATGCATTTCTATGAGGAGATGCTGATCAACCAGGGCTGTGTTGACCTGTGCAGGCTCTGCTCCTGATCTGCCTCCTTAACAATCTGAGATCACCACTTCTGATGATGCCAAGCAGGCAGATCAGGGGCAGAGCCTGGAAAAAAAGGTAAGATTTACTACATTTAGCAGGGGGCTAGATAGTGTTTTCAACACTATAGAGTCAGTACTACGTGTTTGTGTTCCTGACCCTATAGCGTTCCTTTAAATTTAATCTTTAAAAACTGCATTACACAAGGGTGTAACATCTGGTATGGTGTTAAAATTGTTCAATAAACTTTATTCCCACATTAAATTATATAATGAGGCTGAAGACCTTATCCATCACTCCTCTGTTGATACAATACATTAACATTGTAACGGATCGCCTGGCACCCCGACTGAGTACCTCCGTTAAAGGATGCTCCTAGCATTTCCTGAGGACTCCAAGCACTCTGGCAGACACCACAATCACCAAACCGAAGAAGCATATAAATCCTCTCAAGCATATGAATGCTGTAGACAGTTGAATAGGAAACCATACGAATAGGTTTACACTCCTAGCAGTCAAACTGGAACAGCATACAATAAATCCTCCCCCAAGAATGAGACGACACTTCACTTTCAGGGTTAAAACAGGAACTCCCTGTACTGGCACATACAGCCTCTTTTATTCACAATCCACAAAACATAGTACTGCCCACAGGGTTTTGCAGAACCACCAATAAACACATTACAACACATACAATGCAAGTACAGCAGCCAATCAGACACAATGGGAAAATAGAAACACACCCAGCATATTCCTCCCCTCTGCTTAGGAGATAATTGAGTCAATTACTGTATCTACTCAATTATTTCCAAGCTGAAAAGTTACTTTTTGTACATTTTTATAACTTTGTGAGTTAGCATTGTACATACGTAAAACTTATATTATTTTAACCAGTATAACTTGGGGACAAACATATCCAAAATTCAATTGAATAGGTTCAGGGGTTTAACGGTTAGGTCGAAGTCCTTTGTTTTCACTTGCAAGCATGATTTTTCCTGGCAAACCAGTTTCCACTGGTTTGGCAGTGTCCCTGGGACAACACCCTGCTGGAGACCAATGGATCCGGGGGAGGGGAAGAGGAAGTGTCCAAAAAGTTTCAGTATGTCCATACACTGTTTTTAAAAGGCCAGCACAGTACAATAAAAGTCCATTCACTGTCCTTAAAGGGCCTGTAGCCGCACAATAAAATACAATATGCCAAAATATTGCATTCAAAAGTACAACTTTACCAGGGGCCATAGTCAGCAGGTAGGAGGCGGGCAGCCAGGTCTCTCCAATGCCAGGTGGCGAGGCGGGTTCCGCCACAAACATGCTTATTATGTTTCTGATATGGAATATTATGAGGGCTTAAAAATGCAGACATCTGCCATTTTAAAGGAATAGTCACTCCCAAGGCTTTTTAATATTGTGTTTACTTATTTGAAAAATATGTATTTGTGTGATTTGAAAGCCAAAATGAAATGTAAAATTTAGAACGTCTTTATTTACCTTTGTGCAGGAAGTGGACTTCTCCATCTTGGCTCCCTGTTATTGTTATAAGCTCTGCTCTTTGCACCTGCAAGTCCTGCAGAGAGCATAGAGAATAGGAGATAAAGAAGCAATGTTTCAGTTTC